ATACTTATGTCATTGTCGATGCACTGGGTATAAATCGAGAATAATATATAAGCATACCAAGGAAACGACGAACTCCATCTATATCCTAGGGTCTAGGCATATCAACTATGGCTTTTACTTTTGCTGGAGATTTTGATTTTTGATTATGTTGAATCACATTTCCAAGATATTCGATGCTGGTTCGGAAAAATGCACATTTCTTTTTATTCAAATGTAAGTCGAAATTTTTGAGTCGTTGTAAACATAATAAGAGATTGTGTTGACATTCTTCTCTCGTGAATCCATGGATTATTATGTCAGCGAAATATAGAAGTGTTTTTGGTAAGCCTTTTAGAATCTGATCGATAATCCGGTTAAATTCAGTCAGATGGGGCTGTTTTAATACCAAATGACAATTTATGCATCTTGTATGTACCACGGTGCGTACTAATGGTTTGAATCAGGCTACTTTCATCGTCTACTCGAAGGTGCTGTAAATACGCTCTATAGAGATCTAAACGACAAAAATATTTAGAATTTCCTAAACTATTCAGGATCTTGTCGATACGTCGAATCGGAGAATTTGCTGAAACCAAGCATTTACTTACTCCTATTTTATAGAACACACAAACGTATCCTTGATCTGGTTTAGGAATTACAACTTATGGTGAACCATAATGGCTGACATTTACCTTGGATATTAACCAGCAGCTTCTAAGGTGTCTAGTTCTCAGTCAACACGATCTCAAAGAGCATACGGTACTTCTCTTTCTCTATGGAATGATGGTTTAGCATCAGGTCGAAGATTTAATGATACTGTATAATTTGGAACTCAACCAATCCTCTCTTCAAATATTTCTGAAAACTCTTGTGCTATTTTTTCCAGACACAGTATTCTATTGGTATCAAACTGGTATGTATTTGTTATGCTTCTACTATCGATTTGTTGCAAGTTGATTCCAAGATGTCAGATCCAAATACATCCTAAAAGTGGTTCAAAATTATCTGGTACTATGTAGAGCTCTTCAGTCGATGAATTATTTTGATATTTGATGGAAACGCACGCTTTTCCAATAGGATAGAACACATTTTTCGTATATGATCGGAAGGCAATATTCGATTTTTGCAATTTATTTTTAAATCAAGTGCTTTAAAACTAGGAACTTGTAGAAGTGTAAACCCAGCAGCAGCACCTGAGTCGACTTCAAACTTTTGGGACTTTCCTTCGATTAATACAGTGACAAAAAATTTGGTTGCCAAAAGTATCCTGGCATTGTGAATCATCCTCTTCCACCAATGTAATTTCCACAGATTGATTATTTACTCGACGAATATCCAACTGTGATTTATTTTTATTTTTATTGGGCAATAGAGAACGAATGCACATGCGCCACAATCGGCGCATTTCAGTCTATCTGGATCAGTTTTACAGTCTTTAACACGATGATTATCCCTGCCACAACGGATACATAGTTGATCTATACCCAATTCAGAATGGTTTATACGGGATCTTAACTTCTGCTGTTTATTTCCTGACAGGGAACTGTGACGTGAACGGCTTTTGAAACATGAATATTTCCTCGAAAAACGATTAACTTTATTGATGGGGTCAAATTATAGGTTTCCTGTATTTGATATCTTTTTAGTAGCTAATTTTGATGCCTCAAGCGCCAGGGCTTTTATCAATAGTGCCATAGTGCGTCGAAATCATCGGTAGTCGATTGAAGCAACTGGTTCACGAATCGATTGGTCATAAATTCCTCTGACGAACTATGCTTTGAGAAAAATATCGGCAACATTAGCTTTACACGCACATGCTTTGACAGTTAACTTAAAGTTAACTTTTTGCATTACATGTGATTCCAGAAGTTAACTTTAAGTTAACTCTCAAAGTAGTTTTATAATACCCGCCCTAGGAAATATTCCATCCTCTAGAAATAACTTTGAACTTATATAATGAAGAAGATCTTGCAGTTCCCTGGGTTTGGGGGCTTGACAATTTTTGTACATCGTTTCTTTCGATAGAAAAGATATCATCTACAAGTGGAAATGTGAATTGTTAGAATATTGTTCTTTCCTCTGAGAAATTTAATTTCATAATCATTTCCAATCTTTTGAAGTACTTGACCGATGGAGTACCGAACTTTGGTCTTTGTGACAAATGTTGCTATCACAAAGTCACCTTTAAACACGAGAAAATCTTGTTCAAAAGATAAGGGGAACTCATCCGGTGAATCGTCTTGACTCTCGGAAAATTCACTCTCGTCGAACACCTTTCTTTTAGCTGTTTTTGAATTCTGCAAACTTTTTGTTCTTTGCTGTTGCTGGACATTCCTTGTCATGTCCATCAGCTTATTGAGAACTGGAGTAGATGTATAGATTACTGAGTTTGAGTCCCTTTTTCTTCCTTTAGAAATCTTTTTCTCTTGCATTTTTGGATACGGTCTTACATCAGTTAAACTTATCTTTCTGGTTTTACAGTTTACTTCATGGGAAACCTGGCGTGATGACTTTGCATTGGAAGATGACTGAGGTGCTTCTTTATGTAAAATATGGGTTGAAGATGACATAGAGGTTGACAGCTTTGCAGGCGCACAGCTTAAATCGCCATTTGTAGCCATTGTTTCAGATTGTTCTCTATTAGCAGTTAAATTTTGAGCTTGGTTTTGAGGTTTGTCTGTAACTGTGCTTGCAATAAAATCTTCGTCGGAAAAAGCTAAACGATTAACAGGCCAAATACCTGGCTTCTTGAATGAGTGTATGATCTTTTGTCTCGTAAATACTCTCTTGTAATGGTCTTCTCAGGGTTAGAAATCAACCAGTCGTCATAAATACTGGCCAAGGCAGACTTGAAGGGTCCATGTATCCCAACATCTAGAGGCTGCATGCGGTGAGTGGTATGCGGAGGGAATAAAAGAAGAGTAATTCCTGACTCTTTACAAAATTTCACTGCTTCTAAAGACACATGTGATGTGCGATTATCCACAAGAAGTAGAATGGGGTTTTCTGCAGAGCTATTTGTGTAGTTTTCAATGTGTTCTAAAACACGCAGAAACAACTATTGTGTGATCCAGGCAGTTTTGTTTGCCAAAACTATAAACGATTCTGGAGCCCCTTGTAGGATTTCGAATTCTACCAACTATGTACCTACACAGGAGGAATAATATTGTCTGCAGCATTTATGATTCCTACAAATGTCAAATTTTCTCCCCGCATTCCTGACTTGGCCAACTTGTTTCTTCCCGATTCACTGATTTTAGGACTGTTGAGACTCCGGTTTCGTTCAACTCAAACATTCTTGGTAGCTCTCAATAAACTTGTGCTTTCTGGATTTCTTAATGATAGCTGATTGCGCCGAGACATAAATCCATAAACCCATTCAAGACCTTAAAATATTATTGTGTTAAACAGAACCAAATACATAGTGAAAAATTGAAAGAACTTACCAGCAATCGTATTGATTTTCCATGATTCGGACATTTTACATTCTGGTATTTGAGAAGCAAAATCAACTGCAATCTGATTTGCCATTAGGAGAGCCCGTAATGTAGATCAGAACAACGTTGAACATAAGATACTAATCGAGAATTCGAGAATACTTGATTAACCGCGTACCTATTTATTCTTAAAAACTCTTGAATTTTCATTCTCCGACAGGCCTGCTGAGTCTGATGAATTTTCATAGCGGTGCTCCATCCTCTTAGTTTTTATGAGTCGGACCCGTGAAACTAGAATATCAACAATTATATTTATTTTAAAATGAAAATATCTGATTCTATTTACAATTTGCAGTACAATATTGGGGATCCTTCAACCTGGTTTAATCATCCACAGACCATATGAGGTGATCTGTGCCATATGGTTGAATCATCCCCATATGCAATGCTTTAACATTTGAACTGGTGCAAAACTACACATACAAACTTTGAGGTTAAATTATCTTATGTTCTTATTGCTATAAGGTATTAACTTTAAAATGAAATAGAAATTTGAACATTACTACCGCAATTAAGTACTGCAATGAACAACAAAAACCTAAAAAGTTAATCTCACCTTTTAAGATCAAAAATTTTCAAAAACAAGGAGATGTTGTTTTAAGAGATGCACACACAACTGAAACTTAATACACACTGTTGCCAGACGTTGTACTGACATTCAAATATAAAATATTGCGGGAAATTCGAACCAGTGTCTAAGTCTTTAGACTGTTTGAATCTTCCCCATGGTTGAATCATCCACAGTCTCCCTTACTCGGAAATAGATTGATTTTCACGTTGGTAAGTTGATAAAAATCTATGCTCAGAAACTATAACATTTTTCTTGGGGCATAGGTGCTACTCGATTCTCGAATTACTCATCATAGATGAATTCATCTGGCTTTTTTGGAGCTACTAGGGCTGTAAGGGTACTGTCCTAGATCCTAAAGAATTAGACAACATCTGATCTCATCGAAAGCGTTTTTGAGTTTCAGATAATTTTCGAACCGTTGCCTGTTACTCTTGAAATCTTCATTATGGGGATGAAAATTCTCGAATGGGAACAGGGAAAAAGTGGAATTGATACTTGATGAATTTGTCGTTGGTTCACAGATTTGTTGAAGTATGCTTTGCTTTGTGCTGTACAACTGGCAGTCAAAACGGACATAAATTGCTTGAATTAGTGTTTATTCATCTTCTATGGTCTTTGTTTTGTCCTCGTCGCCAATTTTCTGGAATCTTTTCTTTATTTGATATAAAATAAAACCAGACTATTTGACACACTATATTATATCTATCTAAGTTAGGAAGCAACATTAATAATTACTGCTGAATACCTTACAGCGTACCTTTTGAAACAAATATTAACAAGGATATAAAATACTATCAATATTTCTATTTCAATCAATAATCTAACCTTCGCTCTTTCCACCATAACAATACAGTTCCACCATAACAAAACTGAAAAAAATTGTCCAAAATATTCAACAAAAATTCTATCTCCAGAAATAGCATGAACAAATTTACCTAAATTTCGCATCAAAGATGTTGAATTTCGCATCAACATTCGTCAATTCGCTCAGAAACAACGATGTTTTATCTCCAACACCAAGAAAACGAAACCTGCAACACACCGGCTGCAAAGGCTCAGCACATGGGCATGGAAATTATAATCCTGCTGAGTCACCTTCTGAGCCTTGCGCGTTTCAGCGAGTACCATCAATTAAAAGAAACTTTAATTCAAATGGAATTTCATCAGAAAGAGTTTCTGAATCTGATTCAATCGATTCGAATCAGAAACCAACTTCAAAAACTAGTCCGTTTCAAAGAACCTCTTCACTAAGAAGTTCCAGAGGTAAATTAATTATAAAGAAGCCTCCAGCGATTCCTGCATCACCAAAGCCCAAAACAGCAAGCATTAGCTCTGAGAATTACAGTGAGTCAGATTCAATAGATTCTGCTGATAACAAAACCAAATGCTCAGAAGAAACAATAAAAAAGCAAAACAGTGTCAGCTCAAGATTGTTTAATAGTGGCACTAAAGCATCAGAAGCTAAAACCGCTAAAATGAGACACCTAGATATCTTCGATGTGGATGAGGCTAGCTGGATGGGTGGACTGAGAAAAGTTTCTGAAGAATCCAATGTGCAAGTGCAGAAAAGGAAGCAATTTTTGAACGATGAAGTGGATAATTTTTCTCGTTCTCGGTCAGGATCTTCACGTAAAAATAGCTTTAGTAGTCCAAAGGTGCCACCAAGGAATAATTTGAGAAGAAGCTTCAGAAGGATTAAAGTGAAGTGCGTGGAATATAGTCAATTGGCTGAAATGAGTATGGACAGGAAATTTGCAGGATTTTTTAATAGTAGTGATAAAAGTGCCTTGAAGGATTTGGAGGGGTTTTTGAAGAAGGTTGAGGCAGATGAGGTGAGAATTATGCAAGTGAGTTTTTTAAAGTTAGTTTGTGTCATTTGAAAATATTTGATGCTAATATATGAGAGTAAGCATATGAATAAACAAAAATTACTTTCTGATGAATGTTTTCATGACTCGATGGATACAATCTTTATGGCATAAGATCAATCTGTATCGATTTTAAATTGTTGTAAACAAACAATCAATTAAATCCATCCGTCGTTGGCAAATCTTAAACAGTCCCTATTTTCCATAAATCTATAGTCGCGCCAGCAATATCAATTAAATGCAAATTTCTAGAAGGAAAAAAACCATTAAAAACTCTTACATGCTAATGTTGTTTACCACAGGGGCATTAAAAATCAATCGAGTCCCTGTTCGCTTGGTACTCATATGTCACCGCAATTACCCAGTCAGTTCTCCAAACATGCATAATGCCAGCGGAATTATTTATGAGCTCCGGTACTACATACATACATAAATCGGATTAAGGCTATAATTCATGACCTCTTGAATTAAAATTTTCAAAAAATACAGGGTGTAACCCGCATTCTTTTCTCGATAAGTGAAAATTCTTTTGGTACTCTAATCTCGTCCGTGAATTAAGTTCAAAAATGGCATTAAAGCGACTTGAATGGCATGTCCATTTACGTTAACCGCCTTAAAATGGCTTTAAAGACATTATAAACGCACAAAGTCCATTTCGTCCGCTCATATTCCGGTAAATTATCCATGCTTTATAAGGGCAAACCACTCATTATGCTTAATTTATAAATAGAACAATACCAAAGGAAAAGGAATCAAGGCTATATGGTATGATGATCTGATAGATTGTTTTCACTTTTAAGGTTTAACAGCCGTTTTCGATGCAAAATGGAAATAGCAGGGAAACTGAAATTTGGATTCTATAATAGGAAGCATATTCTTTGAAAACCATGAGTGGCAATAGAAACAATACATTTATGAAAGTGTTCCAATTGGGCTCACTTAGAAAATATTTCTGTAATTCTGCACTGCTTTTTATTTTACATAGGAAATAAAAGATGTTTTCATTTATTTTTTGATTAGTTTTCGAATAAGGAAAACAGAAAACCATTGGAGGTAGCTTCGAACTAACACTATATTTTGTACTCTAGAAGCACTAAAGACATTACCACAATAATGTCACTGCCCTTAGGTGTCGATCGATCTACTTTTGGGATGTAACTACAATAATTTTGATGATACCCATTACAAAATAACAACAAAACAAATAATTCGTATCTACTTCATGAACAATTTCAAATCTTTTTTTATGTAGGTACACTTTCCTATATAATACCTACCTATCTATGTTAAGCTCATTGTTTTCGAGATATTTGGTCGTATGTATTTGAAACAAAGAAAATGAAAACTTTTAGTTGCTCTGAAGACATCCTTACATTTACGACTAAGTAAATATCTCAAAAACAGTGACTTTCACAATAACGAAAAGCTTATAAGGCAGCATATTTATACAGCACAGATTTTAAAAATCAGCTGACGTGAATAAGTAAATGTCCCTAATATGGATAGAATATTTCTATCCAATCAAAATTCATCATTGACATATCGGACCCTTTACTATAATGATGCATCAAGACACCGTTCTCTACAAGTTAGGAACCAATAACAAAAACCAGATTCTAATAAATTGGTCGGATATTTAGTATTTGCAATTTTCAAATTCAATACGTCTTAACTTTACTAATGGAAAATATCAATTTAAATTACTCGCATTCTCTAAACATAGCTGCTAGCCATCCACGTGCCTGTAGAAAAGAAACTCACATTACCCAGAGAGAAATCAATTAAACCAAATTGCAACTGTTCGTACTCGATTAAATACACTTTAAAATCTGACTCATTTCTCGAGGAGGTATATTTCGAATAGAAATTGAAGCTGCTTTCCAACTTCCTGATGATTGGCTTGCCTTATAGTCAGGAGGAAAAGCAATCAAGAAAGAGTTTATAGGAAAATTGCTGCGATTGAAAACACTTGAGGCATTTTAAACTCTCTAGAATTAAATGGGTGTAAAAATGGGCCAGAGTGATTGGCTATCTTGGTGCAAGAGAAATAAGTTAATTATTTGTTATTTTGTGATTGGTTAAAATCCTATGGTGTCAGGAATCCTTAACATAAAACAATTATGGCATGGTATGCATCCGTTTAACATTTACAATATTGAAAGTAATAAAACGTTCTTACATGGCATTTACTTATTTTAAATTTAAATCGATTGTAAATTTGTCATTTCATTGATTTATGTGTACTTATGTTTCTTTTTTGTTTCAGGCAAAATCCGAAGAACATTTAGAAAAAGAAAAACAATGGTTGGACGCGGAGAGGATGTGGCTAATGCACCGTGGTGGTTTCGCTGCTGCCAGAAAGGAAGAAGGATCGAATTCGGAGCCAGGAAAGATCAGAATTCGATTAGAACAGTCTGGAGATGTTTTGGTGGTGGATGAAGACGATATTGAAAGGGTGAGTGGATTAACTATAAGTATTTCTGTTTTTTTTGAGGTGATCGTGTTATTTTCATATTCTATTTCATTCCCAGCAACCTATGAAGATTTTTTATCTGTGATTCCTGACGATTGTCGTCACTTGGCTCTTTTCCACTCCTCTTTTTCATGGTTTTTCTCTTGACACACTCTAGGGCTTTTGTTAAATCTATACATAGGTAGTAGTTTTGCTCCTTTTTCCTATTCTGTTTATTACTACTGTCTATGTGTCCCATTTTATTGTTCGTTATTTGTCTTCTCTTTTTTTTCTGTTTTCTAATATTTGACATCACAAGAAAATAGTCACTGGCCATTTTTGGTCCTTGCTCAGTAACCTTGTATCAATATCTTAGCTGTTTCTTAGTTGCCTAATAAAATTATTTGTGATATTGATATCCATAAGGTCCATTTATAAAAAAATGATTATTTTTTATGCCTTCTCTATCGTTTTTTTCTTCCAGGCAAATCCTCCTCAGTTCGATCGTGCAGAAGACCTAGCAGCATTGAGGCACCTAAATGAATCCAGCGTCTTGCATACCCTAAGACAACGATACGCTACAAACCTGATCCATACTTACGCTGGATCTGGTACCTTATTGGTAGCCAATCCCATGGCACCTTTAGCAATATACTCTGAAAAGGTACCGCTATTTATAAACCTTTCGTGAAATATTTAATAAAATAATTATTCTAGGTTGTCACCCTATTCAAAGGCTGTAAATCTGAAGACATGCCTCCACACATCTACTCGATGGCCCAATCAGCTTACCAAAATATGCTTTCTAGTCGTAGAGATCAATCCCTGGTCTTCCTAGGCCGTTCCGGGTCCGGAAAAACTTCAAATTTCCGCCATTGTGTTCAATATTTAGTTACTGCTGCGGGCACCGTTAACAATATCCTTAACCTGGAAAAACTCACTTCGATGTGGACTGTTTTGGAAAGTTTTGGCAATTCCAAAACGGTTATGAATGCTAATGCTACGAGGTTTACTCAGATTTTTAGTATTGATTTTGATCAGAGTGGCTCGATAGCTAGTGCCAGTATCCAGACACTCCTATTAGAAAAAACCAGAATAGCTAAGAAACTTGAAGGAGAAACCACATTCCATATAATGCATAGGCTACTTTGTGGTGTGGAAGGCACTTTACGAAAAGAGCTATATTTGGACAGTTTGTCTGGAAATGAAAATAATTTATTAATGAACATGTTGCAGAAACATGAAGACAAACAAAGAGCCCAACAAGAGTTTATGAAAACCTGTCTAGCATTGACTGCTCTAGGAGTAACAGAACAAGAGCAAAAAGTAATATTTTCAGTATTAGCAGCTATTTTCCATCTCGGATGCGCAGGAGCTATCAAAGCAGGCAATAGCAACAGATATCAGTTCAGCAGTCCACAAAGTGCCCAAAGAGCAGCATCACTTTTAGGTACAACTTCCGAGGAACTGTCCAGAGTCGTTTTCGGACTGGCTTCTGGTGGAATGGTGACGCCAAATCAACCTAGAGCTCCATTCAGGACACCATCACCAACTGATAAGGGTTTGGAGCGGGAAGCTGTTGGCATTGAAGCTGTAGAAGGAATCGTTATGGGGCTGTATTCGGAAGTTTTCAATTGTATAGCCAATTTGATCAACAGGTTGGGTTGTAGGAATTTTTTTTATGAAATAAGTACTTATCGCTGTGAATTTCAGGTCCATTGCTGCTAATACTCACACTACAACGTCTATTTTGTTGGTTGATGCACCGGGATTTCAAAATCCGGCCACTTGCGGACGGCAAGCTGGTGCTGCGTTTGAAGATTTGTGCCATAATTATCTTCAGGAGAGGTTGCAGTTGTTGTTCCATCATACTAATTTAGTTGCGCCAAAAGACAGGTAAAAAGGAGGTTTTTGAACCAACTTTTGTGGTATCAGCGGTTTTTTGACTTTATTTAATTACTTACTTATTTCTTAATTCACAGGTAATTTTTTATATTAAACATTGGCACAACATGAATTCATTTAAATTATGAAAACAAGAGGTATAGGAACATTTTGAGCGTTCTTTTGACTGAGTTTTGATATACAGGAGATTTCTTTTCCCTATTCATGGCATAAGGCGATTTCGCCTCAGTTTGGTACCCCAGTTTGGTCTGTCAAACAGGTACCATTCAATTTCGGATGGGTGATTGATGCTGTCACAACAACTTTGGTACGCCCTTTGGTCTGTCAGATGCTATACCGCGGTTTGACTGGGTAGTGGAGGTTTGGTATCTTTCTGTTTCTTTTTCTCTCATGTCCAAATGAACATGTCAAAATGTACCAAACGCCCTATTCACTGAATTCGGATGAGATTGTTGAGCTACGTCACTTACGTACCAATTGGTTAACCATTCGCCTACCAAACAGCAGATGAAAATCTGGGGCGAAATCGCCTATAGTAGACTCTAACAATGGTTTTCTAAGATTGTTGGCCTGTTCCCATAAAATTATGTTGTATGCCATATTAAAGAAATCCTAAAGCATGATGAGTCTTGTTTGATCTTCAGTAGACTCAAGTTTTAATACCTAATGAATAATAAGCCTTGTTTAGATTAGAGCAAACATGATCTAGTATCTAGTTGGGAAGCCCACCAGAGTTGCTTTTTCATGTGAGTGCCCGGAAACTTTCCGCTTATTGGTCGATCTATAGATGTTAGGGTTTCAGGTTTCTGACGAAGAAAGTAAGAGTCTCTGTTTCTAGATCTACTAAGGATTGATTTGTTTTTCAAAAATACTAAAAAAATTTATTCCCCTATTCGAGTCACAATATACTCGCCGTTCCTCGTTGACACCAACACATCCAAATGTGGCTGACAACTTGATAGTCATGCCTGGCAGCTTTAAGTCATTTCCGAAGAGAATAAAGATAAGCGGGGCTAATACTGAAGCCTGTGTGGCGTAGATTTCTATCTTCCAGGAACAGGACACCGGATTCGAATACATTCCATGGTCTTGCAGATTGCAGAAATGGCAGTAAAGTACCTCCATTCTCTCAAAGTTTCTGTCATACAAAACTAAGTTGGTTGGCAGCAATAATTCCGTGCATGTGAAGAAAATCTTCATCCATCCAAAACATTCAGTTTTTTTGTAAAACACTATAATTTTAGAAAATATCTTGACTACACACTCTAAACCTCATTTCAAACATGGTATAAGAGTTTTGCCAATTTTCAGTCATGCCTTCTAGGATCAAAATCAAAATCAAAATCTTTATTCACGCCCTTGGCAATTACAAAAGTAAAGTGTCAATAATAAAAAACAATACAGGGTACAAGGACAATAGAAAACAGAAACAATAAAAATAACCTACAAACATTGAAAGTAACTTGACTTTCAATGTGAGTCCTTAGAAAAGCCACCACTCAACCCTTTAATGACATTATACACAAGATAAAATATGTAACATAACATGAGATGGCGACACACATTCTGAAAGCTCAAGATTATTTGGGTTTTCAACCATTATTCACAGCTCTCGTCAGTCTTGAAAACACCAATGTTATCATTGAAAAAGTCAACCTCATCACACTATCGAATTACATGATTTAGCTGTCACACACATTCTATTAATAGGTGAATTGATATAATTATAATTTGTCCTATGAGAAGCGATATGAAAAAGTGCTTTATTTTTTGAATCCCTAGATGGTATATGAAATCCAACCGATGCAAGAAGATTTGGGGCATTCATTTGACTGTTGATTATCTTGTAAAGGGTGCATAATCATATATAATAAATAATTTCCCCATTTTCCAATGGTGTCAAATTTGATAAAGTCATTGTCATTATAGTTAATTTGTTCATGTGGAATACCTAGTTTGAGTCCAATTTTTTTTAGAATTTTTTTTTTGGTTCTTTCTATACTATCTTTGTGCACATAGTAGTGTGTTGCCATACTGAGCTGGCATACTCAAGGAGAGAACGCACCAGTGCACAAAAAACATCTTATAATCAATTTTATCAAAGCCTTTGAAAAATCGGTGTAGATCACATTCACCTGATACTTATTCTCCATCACATCCAACAATACATGTTCGTAAGTTAACAGAGTGGAAATAGTTGATCTTCTTTCAATAAAACCATGCTGATTATCAATCATTATATTTTCGAAATGGGGAGTCATTGGAGTCAAGATGTCACTGACGACACTGACTATAGATCCAAAGATTTTAGCATAATTTTTTATATCAGTTTTATGTCCATTTTTGAAAACAGGTGTTACATAGAATTTCTTCCAGACAGAGGGGAAAATGCCTGTATGAAGGGACAGATTAAAAATTTCACGTAGAATATCGGACAGCACACATATACAATTCTGTAATAAAGTTACTGGGATCCCATCCGGGTCAGCGCCCAAATTTTTATTCAAAAAGTCAATTTTATTAACAACTTCAATGCAAGATATGCTGGAATCGCCCATTAATAAATTTGTTACACTCAAAATTCCCATCAAAAGATAAGTCTCCATACTGTGAATATACAGCGGAAACATTTCAGGAATCACCTGTTAAATTTCCAAAATGATTTTTTATCATGAAGTTGGTTTTCAAGACTCTCTGTGAAATTGCGATGTGATGTTTGAGACAGAATGCGGCCTTGTGATCTTAGGTCTGCAAATTTCAAGTAGTTTTAATTAGTTTTTGACATTTTATAAGTCTTATGTGCCATTTTCTTTTGAATTATCATAGTTTTGAATTCAGAATTCATCCATTTCGGAAATTTAGGTGTGTTAAATCTTGACAAAGGAGTAAATTGCTCAATGATCTCCTCCAATACATCATGAAACAATAAAACCACCACATTGACATCATTACATTCAGAATCAATATTCCAGTCAACACATGACAAGTTAAAACTTATTTGATTAAAATCAGCCAACTTAACGTTAAGATAAAAGTAGTCACATGAAGGAGGCACTTCCAATTTACCAAATTTAACACTCGTACGCAGGATGTGGCACATCCAGTTTTAACAAAGGCTGAGAACTGGTTATGACATTTACAATTGGGTGATTACAAAACAGCAAGTCCAAGAAGTTTCCATACACATTTGGGACATTTATCGATTGATACAGTCCTAGGTAGGCCAGACAGTCAGCAATAGCCAATGCCCTCTTTCCCAATATCCCAGATGAAACTGACCCAGTCTCACCCTTTTTCCACACAATATTAGGAAGATTAAAGTTTCCCCGAATGAAGACATCAGTAAAATCACTTGAATCAACCAGGTGCATAAGGAAAAAACAAAATCCCTCATAAAAGTCCGCAGGTGGGACACCTTAATATATGCATTACCCACCAAAATCCTGTGGCAGCCAAAAGTTACTTGCAAGAAAAGTTGTTCGACATTTTCTGTACATTGGAAAACTATATATCCATCCAACCCCATTTCACTAGTCAAAATGTTACTATTCAAGAATGTTTCAGACAATAGGACAATGTCATAGTCTTCACTGAGAACATTGCACATTAAATCAGATATTTTAGATCTAATTGCTCTAACATTTTGGTAGTAAAATTTCAACTCAAAATTTAGCTCTCGTGATCGATCCTCAGTGCCGGAAAATTTTGAGCCAAACCAGGATCATTGTTATTATTATCTATCCGGTCTTTGCTGATACTTTCTAGGAAACATGAATGGTCTTTAAATCACATTGTGAGGTCAAAAATTACAATTGTCTAGGTCCTTATGAAAGCTTTCACTTATTCCAATTTTGAAAGACTTTAAGTTGGATTTGGAGGGGAGTTCTTCTAGGATAAATTCATACGCACTTTGAGAGGATGCTAATCAAGTTTCTAGAGCTTTTATGACGATGGTATGTAAGCCATTAAATCCGCAAGGAGCAGAGTTTTTTACAATTTTGAACATTCTATCAGTATGTCTGATGTAATGTGCTCTTTCCAATAGTTTTCACAGTAGTTTACAACCTCTCTTTCGTTTTATATGACTCTGTTCCCTATGTTCAGTAAGATGGGGCTCTCTATCTCTAACTGATGCATCTGTGTTATCCATTTTCCATTTCACTTTTGAACTATTGCAATAGCTGTTAATAATGTCCATGTTGTTGATTTCAATTTAGTGCAAAAGTAGTTTCTACTTGTAAATCTATTTACAGCTTCCGTATTCATTTAGGAAAATCTGATTAAATTAAAATGTTAACGTTCTTTTCCATGGATGTCTTCATTTTTCCTGTTTTTGAGTGTTTTCCTTTTTTCAGGACAATCAATCAAATCAATCAAAAAAGTACTTTATTGTCAAAGAAGCATTAGAGCTATAAAAATACTATTGACAAAGCATAATATAAAGAACAATACAATATTACTAACTAAGCTTAACAAGTAAAAAATTATTAAAATTGACAAAAACAATATGTCCCACTCTCGGTCCCACTGCAATTAATAAATAGTAATGAATGAGACCCTGCAAGAAAAAAACACAGTGTATGCCATGAAAATGTTTGCAGAGAACAATTATGGAAAGAAGCTTCTGTATTGAAGTTATTCGTTTTCCCAATTTTTCCATAGATAGAGCTCTCTAGTTGTCACCGACTTTCTGGAGTGTTCTTTTTTGGATTTAAAGCCAATGGTAATTACTTGCATTATGTGTTTGCACTATGGGATCTTGGAGGAACCCATCAAAGCAGTTAAATGAACACGACTATGATCTCTTATTTTATTTTTATAATATCCTCATCCTTCCAAAGACCTAATGTCTTTTTTATGTTGTAAAACTTGTAAACTGTCAATGTGGTGGAATTTTTTATTTGGAAAAGCCTTGCGTTGCCAACATAATATCATCAATGTCAGGTATTAAAAAAAAACAGACTTCAAGTATGGCTTTGATAAACGGCTGTCAACATCATAGGAATGGCGAGCCCTTTCTCCCAAAAGTCTGAGAAAATTCAGCAATAAAGCTGGAGCATTTCTAGTTGGATAGTAGGTGAGCTTATCAGTCAACCTAGTTTAGATGTTCATATTTTCCCTCACATAGTTGAAGTGGTATGGATATTTGATATTTCTAGGGGTAGGATAGAGTAAGCAATTCAATTTCAACTAATTTTAGTAGGAAATAAGCCCCATAGTGGCTATTAGTCTGATATACCTATGCTAGCGCTTATATAGTGAAGAAATTAAGATAAGACACTAAGCAATAAGATGCAAAGTGTTCATGATAGGCAAACCCCTAAGTCGTCGAACAAACGCAAACATGTTAGGCCCTGGTTAGGCAGATCATTTTGGACAAGATTCACTGTATGAGATTCCCAGATTATAAGTGCACGTGCGGCAGGCTGTGATAAGAAATAATTTGTTTAAAAGAAACTAGCCTTGAAGTTCAAGATGCAGCTCCATCTCAGTTTTATTCAATGAGTTTGGAAGTAACTAATGATTCATAGATGGTGATATCATGATTAACGATTTTTACACCACAGCGCTACTTCAACAATAATTATTAATAGTGCCAATCTGCCAAATGAACTTAACCCAAAGAGCAAAGAAAAGATCCATGATGGGTATAAGCTTGAGAGACATAGTCAGGAACGATGAATTCAGAAGCTGAACCAAAGTTACTGATATTTTCAGTTTATTCCTAAAGACCCCAAGCGAAAAGTCTGAGTCTTGCGTCTTACCTGTCGCAACCTATGGCCTTGAACTAGCATAACAATAATTATTATTGACAACGCCAATCTGCCAATGAACTCAACACAAAGAGCAAAGGAAGGATCCATGATGGGTATAAGCTTGAGAGACATAGACAGGAATGAGGAACTCAGAAGCTGAACCAAAATTACCGACATTGTCAAGAGAGTAGCACAACTCAAGTAGAGAAGGGCAGGACATTACCCAGATGAGAAACAACGACATGGGCAAAAAGGTTTTTCCAGTGGCGTCCAAGAGAAACCAAAAGAAGTAGTGAAACATCACAAAACAGATCGCACAATGATATGAAGCGGACAGCTGGAAGAGATTAACTACAAGTGATGCCTAGGAAGAGAAGAGATTTGAAGAAGTCTTCATTCACGAATCGATGGGCACGGGCTGAAAAGAGGTGTCATCTACAAACAGAATGATGTTGTGCTTGCTTCTTAGAAGCAAAATGAGGCTTTAAAGAAAAGCTTCTTGGGAAAAATATTTTACATAAGCAATCAGAAGCCTTTCTCCGATTCAGATATAATTCCAAAACTATCACAATCTCTCTCAAAAGTATCAATTACATACGCTGATCTGTTTTACTGTGATATATTCATCTGTTAACTGTCGAAGTCAATTACAACAACAGTGCCTCTGTTAAGTAGTGCGAAGTTGATTTTAGTTAATTTACCATATTACTTGTTATTTTCAATTCACTTGATGTTTTTAAGATGTACCACAAATGAATAAAGAAATAAATGGTTTTCTCTTATATATGGGATTGACTTGCCAATTCGAAAATGTCAGGAAACTGCTGCGCCGACTTCCGCTATAATATAAATAAATTGTATAGAATCGAACCAGTTAGCGTCAAGAAGCTTTAATCCAAACTTTATTGGTAAATTCAAATTCTGTAAAACGTAAAACTGATAAATTCCTAGAGCTGCGTTCATCGTTTAAACTGTCGTTGTAATGCAAAAATCGCCTAATATCTCTAGTTTACCCTCAAATTTTCACACATTTTCCACATCAGATTGTATTTCAATATGATAAATTGTTTTCAGATACCTCCAGGAAAACATCGATTTCACATACGACGAGAACGAAAACGAAAATCTGATCAACCCCACGCCCATGGTGAACCTTTTGGATAAAACCGCCCAAAATATCGTCATAAGAACGTCACAAACTGATCTACATGACGCTGACAGAAGAGGCCTCCTATGGCTTTTGGATGAAGAATCAATTTATCCCGGCGGCAACGACGATTCCTTTTTGGAAAGACTTTTCACACACTACGGCGATAGGGATCACCAACTGCTGTTGAGAAAAGCTCCAGGAAATAATCAATTTATTTTGCAACATCTGCAAGGCACCAACCCGGTACTTTATAGTTCGAAGGGTTGGCTGAAACAGAGCAGAGAGAATCCGGTTTCTAGGGCTGCCGTGACTATTCTTCAGGAAAGTAGCAAGTAAGAGTTTTTTTTGTTGACATTTTGCATCTAAGTTGAGGATTAAAATTATTAGAAAGTAAGATCGTAGTCTAACTAACCAAGCAATACCTTTCACAACTAAAGCCAATAATACTGTGGCATATATTTTTCTGTTTTTAGAGAAGACATGAGCAAACTTTTTGTAGCAATAAGAGGCCTTGGTGCGTCTAGTTTCAGCGGTTCAGTGGTAGGTTTGGATGGTTCCCAATCTTTAAGGCGAGCATCCAGCATCAGAAGAACCTTCACTGGTGGCACTGCAGCAATTAAAAAGAAGAGCATTTGTTTACAGGTTAGCATATACCACTTTTTGAATAAATTTAATTTAATGTGGCTCTTTTTCTAGACTAAATTTACAATTGACGGCTTAGTGGAAACTTTGAGAAGGACTAAACTAAGGTTTGTCCAATGTATTCTTCCTCAACACAATGCGGGCATGTGTGAGAGTAATGGATCTTTGATTAATATCAAATCTAACCCGTCGGGAAATCAGGAAGAGGGGCTTTTGAATATACCACTTCTTAGATCTCAGGTAAAGTATAAAATTTATCAAAATCATGCTTTTTCATCAAGATATCTTTTTCTCTAGCTTCGTGGTGCTCAAATCCTAGACGCAGTCAGGCTCTACAAGCAAGGCTATCCCACCTTCTTACCTTTAGGCGAATTTAGAAGGAAATTTGGAATATTGGCTGGAGAAAACAAAGTTTCCAGTCCAGTCTTGGACGAAAGAAAAGCTGTGGAAGATATGTTATTGGCCATCGATTTAGAATTGTCCAGTTATCGAGTTGGTCTAAGTCAGGTAAGAATTAAATTTATAAATTTACGTTTGCCATTGTGACGATAATAGACTCTACATATTAATTCGTCAAGAATTAAAACTTTTGCTATGCATTCTCATTCTTCAATATAAGAACTGGGTGCCTCACTTTTGCATTAAAATTTGAAAAGACTGTATATACAATTCATGAACATTCTAAGATAGGCATCACAGGCTACAGGTTTTGCTAAAATTGCTAATATTTGAAAGGAAATCTAAACTTGAACTTTGTGTTTCCAAATTGGAAAATAATGTCGGTAAGGAATATTCTTTATAAGGAATTTGAGTTATTTCGCTTTATCAACTCTTGAAGGCAAAAATCGAATTATCCCACAGCGAAGCGGCCTGCCAGGCTGCCTCATAAAGCGGTGATTTAGTATCTTTAAAAGCTATTTCCGCAATTCTTTATATTCCTCTTGATAGGTCCAAATGAATTAAAGCTTGCGCACACGCTACAAGAATTTTGGTGGGTACTTATTTTAGTAAAAGAGAATGGGTATACCGCCGTTCTATTTTATAGGTTATAAATTTTTTCTACTGGAAAAGTTTTGTCTTCAATTTTCAGACATAAAGGTATTTCAAAGCATAAGAGAAAGTTACCCAAAACCTGCAAGATCGTTTGTTTCGCTACGGTATTTTAATTATTCCATAATGTTAACTGAAATGCACCATAAACATAATTTATATAATTTCACTAATAAGGTTTGTTTTTATGAAGGCGAAGATGATTCCTGGCCTGTGAGAATATTACCAGTTACGCAATTTGCTGAAAACGGTGCTGACGATGGGTGATTAGATCAATTAATAATTTTCATTTAATTATGAAAGTGTATGAAAATATTTCCTGTGGTCAATATATTATTTTTTTTCCTGCTTTGTCGGTGCGGATTTAATTGAATTGAGCAATTTACAACGAGAAAATTGGACAGGACATTTCGGGCTAAGATAAAATAGCTTCTTATGAGTACATAATAATGTATATAATAGCATTGATTAAAATAGGTTTTAGAAATGTTCATTCGGATTTCTGAATGGAACTTTCCTGGTTTCATTTGTGTGCTGTAACTGGAAACTCTGGATTTACATCTCACATCTTCATTGGAAATTTCACATTATTAATACAATCTCTTCATTTACAAATTGAATATATATATATATATATATATATATATATATATATATATATATATATATATATATATATATATATATATATATATATATATATATATATATATATATATATATATATATATATATATATATATATATATATACATCCTCAAACATTATTGCGTCCGTACAAAAACATACATTGTTGCGTCTCCAGGAAAACGAAGAGATATCTAGGATCTTAAGGCGTATACTGGTTCACCAATGAATTTGATAGATGGGGCTATATGTAGATTTTTTGTATCTTCAAATTTAAGATATACACATTTTCATATATTTTTAAACCACTGTTGCGTCCTCATAAAAAGCAACCTTGTCAGCTCCATATATTGGTTGCACCATACAATGTTGCTTCCGTGCGATGTTGTCAAACTGACAGGACGCAATAAAATTACGAAACTATGACAAAGGTAAATTGAATATCGGCTTATCGGCGTTTTCTTGGTAAAAAGTTATGAGCTGATTTGGACAACTTCAAAAACGCAACATAAAATACACAATAATAATATCTCCCGCAATTCAAATGCGTGTGAGTAAGTCGCAATTTTTGCCGGTATACCATCGCATACATTGCCACTTACTGATACGAATTTGATTTGCACTTTTCAAATAAAGCCCCCCTGATACTAATTCTTTTTCTTACTCCCCCCCACCTCACGAAAATTGACTTTTCTGTTCTAAATAGGCAAGCGAAAGCGGAAGTGGAACATGCCAGATCATCGGTTGATAGGTACGAAAAACTTTTGCGCCCTGGATCTGGGTGCTACGTTGGACTCACAAATAATTTTATTGGAGATAAACCAGAAAAATTTCCGTTGGAAAGACTCTAGTAAGAATAAATGGTGACATTAGGATAAGAATTGCCAATATTTCTTCTTAAACAGTAAAAATAAAAAAGGAGATATTATTGGAACTCTCGAACCAGTTAAGCAAATTTCGAACTGTGACCTACCAGATAAATGACATTTTGTGAAACCGAAATTGGATACAGACAAATTGATGCAGACTTTGAAGATATCATGGAAACACCTCGATCCAGATAGACTTAGAGAAGCAGACGTATCTGTGATTGATAATCGAACCGGACCGACCAGTTTAATCCAACACAAAATTGATACTGGATTGGCATACCCAATTAGACAACCACCTTGACGTATGCCAGTAGCTAAACAACAGGAAGTGGAGAACCAAATTGATAAAATGCTTCAAGAGGGAATTATTGAAGAGTCGAATATTCCATGGTCTGCGCCAGTAGTATTGGTTACAAAAAAAGATGGAAGTCTTAGATTTCGTGTGGACTACCGTAAGCCTTATGAGGTCACCAAGAAGGAGAGCTTCCCTCTCCCGAGAATAGATGATACATTAACAACTCTATCGGGCTCCAAATGGTTTTCCACCTTGGATCTCAGGAGTGGATACTGACAAGTGGCAATATACAAAGATGACAAGGAGAAAACTGCCTTCAGTATCGGAAGCGGGTTATACCAGTTAATCGTGATGTCTTTCGGATTGTGTAATGCTCCAGCTAGGTTTGAGCGACTGATGCATCTTGTTTTGCGAGGCCTCACATAAAAAACTTGGCTGGTATATTTATATAATGTCATGATCATGGGAAATTCATTCCAAGAATATCTCAATAACCTGAATCAAGTGCTTGATCGCTTCCAGAATGCCAACTTAAAACTCAATCCAAACAAGTGTTTTCTATTTCAAAAGAAAGTGGAACTCTCAGGTCACGTGGTATCTGAAGATGGCATATGAGTTATGAAAGGAGAAATAGATGCTGTCAGGGATGGGCCAAAACCACGCGACAAACATGAACTGAGGAGTTTTCTAGGATTGTGTTCTTATTATCGAAGATTTGTAGAAGGATTCGCTAATATAGCTGCTCCGCTTCATCGATTAACGAAAGAAAAATCAACATTCAATTGAACCCAAGAATACGATTCCGCATTTAGAAAATTAAAACGAGCATTATGTACAAGTCCAGTGTTGTCCTATCCCGATCAGGACATGTTGAATTTGCACTCAGATGCAAGCAACAACTATTAGAGCTGTCCTTTCACAAATCTAAAATTCACAAAAGCATGTCGTAGAGTACTACAGCAGATTTTTATTAAAGCCGGAACGAAATTATTGTGCCACAAGAAGAGAATTGCTTGCCATAGTAAAAGCAGGCGACCATTTCCATGAGTATCTCTACGGAAGTCGGAAGTAATTTTGTGATTCGAAGGGATCACGCAGCTCTAAAATGGCTTTTGGGAATGAAATACCATATAATTTGCAAAAATACGTATCAACACACTCGGATATTCATCCTTTTGAATGTGACACTTTTTATGACAACAATTGAATGAAGCCGCGTATAATAGCTGGGTTCGGTAATTGCATCTGCGAGCGAAGTAAGCAAAATTTGACAGATATCACGTGATTTGACACGTGAAAAGAGATAAGTGATCAGGTGACGTCAGTCAAAATTTGCTTATTTCGCTCGCACATGCAATTACCGAACCCAGTTATTATACACGGCTTCATTCAATTATTTTTGAGTTTAGAAACTCAATATTTATGTTGAAGCTCTCTGATGCCAGCGATATAAGTATATGAAGAAAAACAAAATTGTAGAAATACTATTACAGAGCTATTAAAATGCATCCTATTTGATAGTGATATTTTAATATTTCATCAAAAGTTACAAATTAAATACAAAACATAGCTGGTGTTTTAGGGCGTTAAAAACTATAAACAATTCTTCATATCATTATATTTATTTATTTATATAAACACCAAACTATACAACTTTAAAGCTACAAATGATAAATTTGTTGACCTAAAATAAATGAAAGAATTTGAAAGAAATGCTAATGCTTAATTCACCAGTATAAGCATTAAATTGAAACTTTCATTTATCCAGCTGAATGGGTCATTGATTGTCACTTTAAACAAATTCTAGCTTTAAATTTGGCATGGCATATAAAATTCCTCTCATTTGAGTGTGATAATAAATGACTTCAAATTGTATTTGAGTTTAAATTTTGCAGTGCAAGTGTTACATTCAAATAGATAAATATCCGAATGTGTTAGTTTGTGAATCTTTCAATCGCCTTTCCGTTTAAATTTTGATTTGCATGTGTCGCATTCAAAAGGATAAATATCCGAGTATGTTGATACGTGCCTTTGCCAATTACCTTTTTCTTTAAATTTTGCATTGCAAATTCACATTCAAAAGGATAAATATCAGAATGTGTTAATTTGTGACTATTCAAATTACCTTTCTGTTTAAATTTTGCATTGCAAGTGTCACATTCAAATGAATAAATATCCGACTGTGTTAGTTTGTGAATCTTCAAATCGCCTTTCCGTTTGAATTTTGATTTGCATGTGTCGCATTCAAAAGGATAAATGTCCGAGTATGTTGATACGTGCCTTTGCCAATTACCTTATTCTTTAAATTTTGCATTGCAAATTCACATTCAAAAGGATAAATATCAGAATGTCTTAGTTTGTGTCTCTTCAAATAATCTTTTCCTTCAAATTTTGCTTTGCAAATGTCACATTTAAAAAGATAAATATCCGAGTGTGTTGAAATGTGGCTCTGCAAATTACCTTTTTGTTTAAATTTTGCATTGCAAGTGCCACATTCAAAAGGATAAATATCCGAGTGTGTTGATACGTGTCTTTGCAAATTATATGGTATGCTGGGTTCGGTAATTGCACCTGCGAGCGAAATGAGCAAAAAAACTCGGATTTTTATCCTTTTGAATGTGACACATGCAAATCAAAATTTAAACGGAAAGGCAATTTAAAGATTCACAAACTAACACAGTCGGATATTTATCCATTTGAATGTGACACTTGCAAAGCAAAATTTAAACAGAAAGGTAATTTGAATAGTCACAAATTAACACATTCTGATATTTATCTTTTTGAATGTGATACTTGTATATCAAAATTTAAACGGAAAAGCGATTGGAAGATTCTCAAACTAACACATTCGGATATTTATCTATTTGAATGTAACACTTGCACTGAAAAATTTAAACTTAAATACAATTTAAAGAGTCATTTATTAACACACTCAAATGAGAATTTGTTTAAAGTGACATTCAGTGACCCATTCAGCTGGATAAATGTAAGTTTGAATGTAATGCTTATATTGGTGAGTTTAGCATAAGCATTTTTTTCAAATGCTTCCATTTATTTTTGGTTAAGAAATTTATTACATGGAGAACTTGCCTGGTATATTTGGATGATGTCTGATCATGGGAAATTCATTCCAAGAACATCTCAATAACCTGAAACAAGTTTTTGACCGCTTCCAGAATGCCAACTTGAAAACTCAATCCAAAGAAGTGTTTTCTATTTCAAAAGACAATGGAACTCTCAGGTCACGTGGTATCTGAAGTTGGCATACAAGTTATGAAAGGAGTGATAGATGCTGGCAGAGATGGGCCAGAACCACGCGACAAACATGAACTGAGGAGTTTTCTAGGATTGTGTTCCTATTATCGAAGATTTGTAGAAGGATTCCCTAATACAGCTGCTCCGCTTCATCGATTAACGAAAGAAAAGTCAACATTCAATTGAACCCAAGAATACGATTCCACATGTAGAAAATT